CCGAGTCTTCTTCTCAGCTTTCTGTAAATAAGTAGATCAGTGGTAATTTTATATAGAAAGCTTTTAAATTAATCTTAGGCATATTACTAAGTGAGTTTTTCGTTGCGGTCGTTCATTTTTCTCGGGAATGGGTTGACATGTCCGGAAGATGTATGTTAGTCTTTGTTGAATTCACTTGCGACGTTTATTTGCGCCATCTGCATTAAAAGGTCAAATGTACCTATAAGCGTGGGTCTTTTGTGCGAATCAGCGCTCGGCGAAGTCTGCAGAATTTTTTATCCGTAACGAGATAAATATTTGCGGCTTTACTGTTTACTTTCATTTTGCCATACTATTTGGACTTTTCTAAGCGATTTTGTTTATTATTGTATTTACGGTATCCGATTAATATGGAAAAGAACTTGACAGGCTATTGCACAAATGGAAGACCATTCCTTAGTTCTCCGATTTGACTTATCGTTTTCCTTCTCACGTTCCCTTAGCCGAAGCTGAGTTGTGCATAAATAGTAAATACCGTTTAGCATCGTTCTCTGAAACTTCGCACACAAAAGTAGTGTTTGCTCCTGTACGTACGTTTTCTCCCGATTGTCATATTTGAGTAGATGTTTAGAGGACGTTATGATGTCAGCATGTGTATTGTATTAATTGAGCTTAGTCTGTTCCAACCAATTTGTTACCAGTTCTGTGAATACGCCGGAGATTTTCTGGTCTGTATGCGTCTTATGCAGGAAGCGCGAACACATCGCTTTCAGACCTTATAAGTATTTATTCTGGCATATTTCCATAGCAAATAAATGCGTTCTAATCGAGAGAAACAGGCCACCAAAGTTTATGGAATTATTCCAACTTCAATCGCCCGGAAACCGAACAGCTGCTTCCACTTTCCAACCTTTAGTTAGCGACAATTTTCTTTGGAGATTTTCATGTGTGTGGGTTCACAAACTCGAACAAATACTCTCTCCGTCAGTGTAGTTGGCCTTGCCGTGACGATGCGAATTCCTGGTCCTGGTGCTAACCGTCGGATATATATTAATATTTATCATAGAATCGTCCATTAATCTAGAGTACGGCGAATGCTCGTTTCCTGTATTTGCCGATATATTATAGCCTAGCAGAAATAGTCTTATTTTGACATTGATTTCCAGTTGCAATTCTACTTCAATTGTTGCATAAAATGCTCTGTAAATCGACTCAAATGCTTCTTCGCCTTTCCATCCTTTCCAGGATGAACATCCGGAACCCCTACTTCATCGTGTTAGTTGCACTTGCGACGATACTATTCCTTCACTTTTACTTCCATGGCGAAGTTCTGCACCATAAGATATCATTTGAGAATCTATTTAAAAGGGCCTTGAAATTCAACCAAAGCAGGCTACCAGATGTTCGAATCAAAATGGTGACTGAACAACTGAGTACCCTTCCGAGTGATTATGGTTCGCTGAGTAGACAGAGTGTCAGAATTGTTCGGGAGCTCCGCCGTCTGATCAAGAACCCGACGTTGAAGTTGGAGGATGTGCATTCTCTACACGATCTGGCGACCCTAATGTTGGAAACAAGGCTGGATTTGATGGACAAAATCAGCGGTCAGTCTGAGTCTCGGCGCCATCGTTTATTAAATCTCAGCTATCGTCTGCACGACCAGCTGCAACGCTTGCAAAATCCCCCGAATTGTGACACAGCACAGTTCATTACTACTACTTTCCCAAACTATTGTGGATTTGGATGTCACGCCCATCATATGTCCTATGTCCTCTCTGTGGGCCTTGCCCTTAACCGTACGCTTTTTATTGTCGGTGACACATGGAAGGATGTATTCCTACCTATCACCCCTTGTCCCAACCCCCTCTTAAGACACAATCTAACGAACGGACAGACTATAAGCTGGGGTATGTCCAGAGATGTCAAGTCCCGTTTCAATCCACCGACACTGACTCCGGAATGGGCTTCTGCATTGGAAGGTCTGCATGGTAACCCCTTTGCATGGTTCCGGGGCCAGCTTCTGGCTTTTATACTCCGTATCAAGGACGAAGCAATTAAGTGGCGCCTTGAGGCCCAAATCAGCGAAATGCGGTGCGAAATGCCGTCCGGATTGTTTGCCTGCCCAGTTGCTGGAATTCATGTACGTCGTACGGATAAAATACAATATAAGGAAGCTGAATTCCACAATCTGTCTGAGTACATGCCCCAGGTTGAGCGGTTTTTCCAGCGAAAGCTGATGGAGTATCAGTTGAAAACGGGAAGTAATATGTTGCCCGAATGGACTAAACGGAAGAGAGTGTTTCTGGCTTCAGATGACCCATCAGTCTTTGAGGAGGCCAGGCGGTCATATCTAGACTACGAGTTTATTGGTGACAACAAACGCGCCACATCCGCTTATGATCATTCAGTCCGTGCCACACTTGGAATTTACACAGACTTTCGCATGCTGGCCAGCACTGACTTTCTATCCTGCACCATGTCTTCCAATATTTGCAGAATGGCGTACGAGTATATGCTGGCTGATAACCGGAGGAATAGTGATTCGACTTTGCAAGCGGAGTCAGTAGACGTGATGTATTTCAATGTTGGAGAACGGAAACGGTGGTGGCGAGCGCTTGTAGACTACCGTCCCTGGAACATATCTCGTAATGATCGAGTCTCTCCCATTGCAAAAAAGGAAGCCAATTTTTTGAAAGCTGACAGGAGACAAAATGGCCCGACTACTGACTCATACCCTTCGACTTTTCTTTTTGAAGAAGAAGTACTCCGTATCCCAGACCATGATTAAAATTTTTTGCTATATTACTTTTTTAAACGTTTGCCGATCATTCACTGAATCCTCCTGCCTTTCACGGACCTCAGTAAACAGTAAGCAGAGCAAAGGAGGTATTTAGTCTATGGTCTCAGGTTGGCCTTTACCGGACGTTTCTCGGTGAGTGAAATCGCGACCAACACCCTACGTTTTAGGTTTCTGTTAGGCATAGGTCAGAAATCAGAGCGATTCTGGTTTCTGAAACTCGTTTTTTTTAATTAAATTACCAGTTTATGTGATACAGAAGTCGCCCCCGTTGTATGTTATATCACCTGCCTCTTGAATAACTGGCTTTGAGCGTTATTTTCCTTTCTCGAGGTCGGACCGTTCCATACATCTAAATTCGTTCTGTCAGTGCTCTCTTTACTATTGTTGTTGTTTGTGAGAGAAGGTGGACCGGTTAGAACAATATCTGCAGATCACGTTCGTCTTATTATGTTCCAGGAAAATGAGGCTGTAGATCTGTTGTGTAACATGTCAATCTGTTTTAGACCGATTCTTAGCTGATGCGACGTTAAAGTCAAAACGCAGTGTTTATCCTGCTAGGTATCTGTAGTTATAGGCTGCAACCGCAGTTGCATGTAACGTACGTAGTTTAACGAATTTGTTCGCGTTGACCCATTCAGTCCACTCCTTTTGAAAACCTATCCAAGCTTTTTTTATCCGTTCATGTAACACTGGCTCATACTGAAACTTATTTCTTGCTCTTGTTTCACTGGAAAGTTAAAAACAGTATCAATGTGTTTGGATATCGATCTTTTGAGAGAAATGATAGCAGTCCGTAAGGGTGCGATAAACATGCGGAAGTGAAGTGTATGGTTGTTTGGTTGGTAGCCCATGTTGGATCAGGGGTTCCCGCCGGAGTCCAAACTGGG